GGGCGCTGTGGGTCAGAATGGACTCCAGGCAGTGGGTGTGGTTTGGGCTTTGCTTCTGTGAAGACTGACAACCTTGGGGACCCTGTGGGCAGTTCCACTCTGTCCTCTAGGGGCACTGTGGGTCGGAATCAACTCCAGGCAGTGGGTGTGGTTTCTCCTTTAAACACACTGTGCTCACCTGTCTGGTATATTCTCCCCCACCACAGGAGGGCAGGCTCTGAGTTGTGTCTGTCCCACTGCCGGGCTGCGCCGGCCATGCCTCAGGCATTCCAGCCGTGCGGGATGGACGGGAGCCCCCTGAAGCTGACTCAGATCACCCACCTTGACAACTATGGTCGGGGAAACCACGGCAGCTACTTCTCTCTGCAGCCGGGACCTCAAGCCTGAGCAGCAGCCGGTCCCGCCCGACAACAAGATGTTGCCGAAGAGGCTCTTCCTGAGGGCGGGGTCGCAGGAGAAGATGCTCCGGGAAGCCACCATGTGGACGCCCTGGCTGGTCCGCCCTGTGGGGGGACAGAGAGACAGAGAGATGGGGGAGGGGAGAGAGAAGGGGACAGAGAGAGAGAGGGGGAGACAGAGAGACAGAGAGAGAGAGACAGAGAGAGACAGAGAAGGGGGAGAGACAGAGGGGGGAGAGAGAGAAAAGGAGGACAGAGAGAGAGAGAGGAGGGGAGAGACAGAGACAGAGAAGGGGCGGAGGAGTAACAGACAGAGGAGGGAGACACAGAGAGGGAGGCTGAAGCCGAGGGCGTGCACACACGTGTCCGTGCAATGTCTGGGCCATGCTGCTGCTGCCATGGCACTGGCTGGAGGCTCCGTGACCTCGCACGCCCTGCACCAGTCACCGCCCGGCCCTGCCCAGCCCCGTGGATCAGAACGCTGGGAGCCACAGGGTTTCCAAAGGCCAAAAGACCCAACTCCCTGCCGTCAAGTGGGTCCTGACCCACAGCGAGCCCTCCTCGGGTTTCTGAGGCGGTATCTCTGCGGAAGTAGACTGCCCAACCTTCCTTCCGAGGAACGGCTGGTGGGTTTGAACCGCCAGCCTTCTGGTTGGCAGTCAGGTGCCCTAGGCACTGCGCCCCCAGAGCTCCCTTCGATGAATACCCAACTCCCTGCCGTCGAGTGGGTCCCGACCCACAGCGAGCCCCCCGTGGGTTTCCGAGGCGTCTCCACGGGAGCAGAGTGCCCACTCTTCCTTCCGAGGAGTCTCCACGGGCCAATGTTTGGAAGGAGATGCCCAGGCCTTTCCTGCTAGTGTGTCTCAGTCTGGACGCTCTGCTGAAGCCCTGCTCAGCACCCCAGCACCCCACAACCTCCACCGACACACGGGCGGGGCGGGGCATGAGACGTGTTGGTGGCAACTGAACTCGGGCCTCCTGCGTGGAGGACGAGAACCCCACCACTGAGCACCGTGCCTCCCAGCAGGCACACGGCAGGGCTTGGTACGTGGTGGGTGAGCACCGTGCCTCCCAGCAGGCACGCGGAGGGGCTTGGTACATGGTGGGTGACGTGCACTTTGGAGATGGGGTGCCCGTTTGCCACTATTTACGACTCAGAGTCTCATGGGGCCACCTGTTCCTCCTTCCTTACAGGGAGCTCAGCTGTCCAAGTCTGGCCGTTTGTCCCTTGGCTGCCCATGTCTGGAGTCTGGCCGTCTGTTCCTCGCTGTCCAAGTCTGCCCATCCAAGTCTGCCCATCTTTCCCTTAGCTGCCAAGTCTGACCGTCTGTCCCTCGGCTGTCCATGTCCGACTCTGGCCGTCGCCCCTTGGCTGTCCAGGTCAGACCGTGCGCCCCCGCCCTGCACTCACCGATGAGGCCGGTGTTGAAGAGCGCCTCGGGGCACACAAACCTCTCCTTCCCGATGTCCAGCTCCTGGCCGTCGGGCAGCTGGTACGTCCGCTTGAAGGCAGGCGACTCTGCTTTCGCCAGCTCTTTTTCAAAGTCCAGCGCCACGTAGCACGACTTCTCCTTGACGTCTCGCGCACACTCCTGGTCGGCTGTGGGAGAAGACAAGGGCCCAGAGACGGGGATGTGCGCTGTGGGGCTCTCACCAGGGAGCATCCTTTTAAGACTCAGGTCCTGGTGTGAGGACGCGACGGCACTGGTCCAGCTGCTTCTTCTGCATTCTGTCCTCACGTCCCCAATCTCTGCTTGTGTCGGAGCCCAGGCTGGGGAAGAGGCAGGGACTATAGGGGTCCTAACCTCAGATGCAAGAGTTTGGACGCCTCAGCATTTCTGAAGCTGAGGCCTGACTACAGTTGGCATGTGTTCTGGGGGCGGGGAAATTAAACTCAACTTCGCCGTACGCCAGTGTAAACCAGTCCAACCAGCCGCCGAGCTGGTTCCCACTGGCGGCCGCCCGTGTCGGGGCGGAACCGTGCTCCAGGGCTGCTTTCCTTTTTGGATATTTATTTTATTTCACTGTCACTGAGGACATACACCAAGTCAGGTTTCCCCGGGACAACGTTGTGACATTGACGTGGTTCCCTGAGCTGTGCACCCGTCCCCACCCTCCTTTTCCAGGCTGTTTCTCCCCCAAACATAACTCACTGCCCCTAAGGTTCCTGTCTCATCTTCCAAGTTGCCGTGACCACTCTGACTCCGTAATAGCTCTTTACAGGGCGGGGTGCTCAAGGCAGACGTTTCTTCCCAGTGAAGCTAAACTGTGGCTTGACTAACCAGGATTTCAGGAGATATTTTTGGGTTAAGACTTAAAGGTTATTTCAGAGCAATGGTTTGGGGGTTCATCCTCCCTCCATGGCTCCAGAAAATCTGGATTCCATTCGCATTAGAGTTTCTGTTCTGCATTTTCCCCCTTTTGATCAGAGTTATTCTCTAGAATCTTTGATCACAATGTTCAGTAGTGGTAGCCAGGCCTCATTCAGTTCTGGTCTCACAGCAGAGGGGGCAGTTGTTCATGGAGGCGATCAGCCACACATCTCACATCCGCCTCCATTCCTGAGTCTCCTTCACGCATTGCTCCAGGTGAGCAGAGGCCAATGGTCATGCCTCGGATGGCCACCTGCAAGCCTGTAAGACCCCAAGCTCCACGCAACGAATTAGGAGCAGAACAGAAGCACTAAACATGGGATTCGGCCAGTTAACTGGGATGTCCCACAAAACCGTGACCCCAAACCTCTAAGCCCATGAGGTGCTGGGCTGTACCTCAGCAGCCACTCTCTGTTTTGCTGTCATTGCTGCTAACACGTTGGTCTCATAGCCTTCGCTGGCTCACCTTCGCACAGGTGTCCAGTTACCGCCATCAGCCGTGCAAGTCCACCCAGTCCGCAGCTCCTCCGTCACCGTGAACACTGTTTGCACCGTAAACCCAGTTCCCCACAGGCAGTAATGCCCACCCTCACCCCTGGAAACCACCCACAACCTGCAGTCCACACAGTTGCCTTTTCTTGTCTTTTGTATCAGTGAGACCATAGAGCATTTGTCCTTTTGTGATTGGCTTGTTCCACTCGACATCCTGTCTTCCAGCTCCATCCACCCTGGGGCGTGTATCAGGACTTCCTTTCCCCGCTGGCTGAGTAGCATTCCTTGGATGGACGGGCCACACTGTGTTCATCCACTTCTCGCTGATGGGCATGGAGGCTGTTTCCCCCTTTGGCTACTGTGAATACTGCAGTGAACGGTGGGGTCCAGGTCTTTGTTGAGTCTCTGCTTCCATGTCTTTGGGCATCTGCGTCAGCGTGGGAGCACTATTCCCCAGCGCCCGCACCATCCTGCACTCCCACCAGCAAGGGATCAAGGTTCCGACTTCCCACATCCTCAGTCCACAGGGATCTCGGTGGTGGACTCCTGGAAGTAGATCACCAGGCCTTTCTTCTGAGGCGTCTTTGGGTGGGCTCCAACCGCCAACCTTGGTCAACAACCAAGTGTAGTAACCATTTGCCCCAGCCAGAGTCCATCTGCTCTTAGTGCAACAGGCCCCTGGGTGGACCAGTGACTGGCTCTTGGCTACTGACCTGAGGGTTGGTGGTGCAAAGCCACCCGGTGCTGCCAAGAAGAAAGGCTTCTGTGAGGATTACAGCCAAGAAAAGTCCCGTAGAAGTTCCACTCTAACACATGAAGCAACTCCATGGCAACGGGCTTGCTCTGCGTTTTTCTGGGGCAGCACCCTCTGCTGAGTGGCGGTTCCTAGCAGCTCCCAGCTTCTCTGGGGAGTTACCAACAGCTGAGGGAAGGCCCTCACTGGAAAATGCCCCAGAGCTGACCCTCCCTTCCTCCTGGGGGCCGACGACAGGTTGTAAGTCCCGCCGTGTGTCTTTCTGGTGCCATGGTTTCCTGTTTTATGTCCGGTTGTTTCTGAGTTCGGATTTTTGTTGATGGTGGGTGCCACAACTTGACTCCGACTCAGCAGCCCCATGTGACTGGGCAGAACTGCCCCACAGGGTTTCCTGGGCTGTCATCTTGACAGGGACAGACTGGCAGGCTCTTCTCCACAGAGCCACTGGGGAGCAGATGAGCACTTAACCCCAGTGCCACCAGGGCTCCCTCAATTTGAGTCAGAGTGGGTACATCAAAGCAGGAAGCCCTGCTCCCCCACCACCCCAGCCTGGAAGTCCCACTGGCCTTTCTGTCCCGACGCCGGCGCCTGCCCTCAGCCTCTGCTAGCCGGCTGTCTCCCAGCTCTGCGGCCCCTCTCACTGCCCGGCGTGCACACACTCTTCCATTCCTTCCTGGCTCCTTCCCCTTCCCTCCTTGGCTCCTGGGACCCCGCTCTCACCTGATATTTCCCCTGCATCCCTTAGCATGGGCGGCGTCAGGCCAACGTGGGTTCAACTCCACTAATGCCATTTACTGAATGCCCAGCTTTCAGCACGCTCCTTATGCTCTGAAACCTTCCATTTCTTTTCTTTTCTCAGTATATACATATATTTTTTTTTCTTATCTGTATTTTTATTACTTTTTTTTACCCCTGCCTGACTCCTAAGGCTGGCTCCCCAATGTGGATCAACTGTGTGGTTTGAACCAAAACCAAACTCACTATTGTGGAATGGATTCCAGCTCACAGCGCCCCTAGAGGACAGAGTAGAACTGCTCCACAGGTGAAACCATTTCTTCATTTGCAAAATACACAACAAACCCGAACCTGGAGCCATCAAGTTGATTCTGACCCACAGCGCCCCTGAAGGACAGACTGGAACTGCCCTACAGGGTTACCAGGGCTGTCAATCTTTACGGAAGCCGACTGCCTTATCTTCCTCCTGTGGAGCAGCTGGTGGCCTCAGACCCGGACCTTTTGGTTGGCAGCTGAGCGCTTTAGCCCCTGTGCCACTCGGGCTTCTCTCTGCTCCATCAGCTGCGGCAGTCCTCCCCTGGCCCCTTCCCAACTCTCCTCTGCTTGCCCCCCATTGCCACCACCCTGCTGGCCCCTTGGCCCCTACACTCTTACCTGGGAAGGAGAGAAAGCCCAGGGCCAGATGGTGGGCCTGTGGGGATGGGATGCCATGCATCCGAGAACTGGCCCGGGAACCGGGTGAAAGATCGGACTGGGCCTGTGACCAAGTGTCACTGATGCCATGTCTGGAGCCCTGGGCTTCATATGGGATGTTGGCCAAGCGCCTCACCTGTCTAAGCCTCTTCTACACAGGGTACGGGCCCCAAGACACTTAGACTAGCAACGCTAGTACCCGGTGCTGCTGTGATAGACACCACATGTGGGGGCTCGTCAGTGACCATCTCAGTCTCCCAGGGCTGCCGTGACAGACACCACCCGTGGGTGCTGGTGACTTCACGTCTCAGTCTCCCGGGGCTGCTGTGACAGACACCACCCGTGGGTGGCTTGAATGAACAGAAAGTTGTTCTCTCACGGTTTAGGGGCCAGAACTGCCAATTCAGGCATGGGATCTGGTGGAAGGCTCGCTCTCTCTGTCGGCTCTAGGGGAAGGGGCCTGTCTCTTCCAGTGTCTGTCCTTGGCGTCTTCCTGTGGTGTGCATCTTGTCTTATCTGTGCTCCCTTCTGGTACCTGACCTGCTCCTTTCATGTCTCAAAAGAGACCGGTTTAAGACCCCCTTCAGCAATATGGCCTCATTAACATTAAAAAAAAAAAAAAACTATTCCCAAATGGGATGACACAACATATTTTGGGGAGACTTAACTCCTAACAATCATCACCGTCATTACAGTCAGTCCACTCAGTGTCCTGAAATACACACAGGGCTGTTTGCAGAACTCCAGGGACGGTCCAGCTGCCTCGGCTTTAAGGACTGGAGAGTTGTAGGCTGTCACAGGCCAAGAAGGTCACTGCACCACGAGGGACCACGTTACCTGGCTGGAAGGAGCATTTCCTACCTGAGCTCACAAACTGATGTCCGCTGTTGGTCAGCAGCTGCAGAAAGTGCAGGGTTAGGTCCTGGCCGGCGACATCCAACTGCATGGTTGACTGATGCAAAGGGCAGCCGTCAGTGATGGGCACGAAGTAGGTCATCCCCTCCCCAGATTCGATGGTTGTCCCTAGATGAAAGCACACTGACGTCACGACACAGGGTACACAGCACCCCATCAGTGCAGGTCTGCCGGAGGAGAAGGCAGGGGAGCGGTAAATGGAGGGGCCACAAAGGGTTGGGGGCAGCTTTCCTCCCCACAGAGGGGCGTGCTAGGACAGAGCCTCTGGGTCTGAACAAGCGCTGTTTGGACGGGAGGTCTGGGGGCTTTCCTATTCAACCAGCTCCAGGCTCTAGCAAGCATTGTCAAGTGAAAGAAGAGTGGGGTCCTAACACCGTCTCCTCTAAGGACCTGTGTGTGTTCTGAGAACACGGAAACCCTCTGGTGGCACCTTCCATGCCAGCAGTGTCTGGAGGCAGCTGAGAAGCTGGGCATTTTAGTTGGCAAAGCAATCTGGGTCTGCCTGTGCTGGTCCAAAGGGTATGAGACGGTGTTGGGAAGCTATGGGCTCATTTTGTGCAAAACAGCAGCCTGTAGGCGCTTCTAGAAGGCTTGGCTGCTAGCCAAAGGTCAGTGGTTGGAACCCACCAGCTACTCCACAGGAGAAAGATGACACACTCAGCTTCTGTGAAGATGTCAGCCTTGGAGGCCCTGTGGGCAGTTCCACTCTGCCCTCTAGGGGCGCTGTGGGTCAGAATGGACTCCACAGCAGTGGGTGTGGTTTGGGCTTTGCTTCCGTGAAGATGGACAGCCTTGGAGACCCTGTGGGCAGTTCCACTCTGTCCTCTAGGGGCGCTGTGAGTGGCAATGGACTGAACCGTTACAACAGATGATTAGGTGTGTAGGCAGCCAGGTCCTCTCACATATTAGCCTGGGCTGCTAACCAAGAACTTCGAGTTTCCAATGAAGGCAAAGTGAGTCCAGGGGGCCTCCATTTCTAGCTAAGACACAGACAGACAGAATTCCCCTTCCTCCTGGGCCACCCAATAAACCAGACAAAACATATGCAACAATGATTTGCAAGCTACTGGATGTCAAGTAACAAGAGATGAGACATCACAAGACAACTACAGACCACTGTCCTCCACGGACGTAGACACACACATTCTAAACAAAATGTTCACAAAGGAATCCAACAACATTTAAAAAGGACAACGTTATGACCAGATTGGACTGACCTCAGGAACGCAAGGTTGTTTTAATATTAAAAAATCAATCAATATAATTCACTGTATTACTAAACCAGGACAATGAATAAGGAAGACCAAAGAAGAGTTGATGCTTTTGAGTTGTGGTGCTGGTGAAGAATGCTGAAGGTACCATGGACTGCTAAAAGAACTAACAGGTCTGTCCTGGAGGAAGTGCAGCCGAGATGCTCCTTGGAGGAGAGAATGGCCAGACTTGGTCTCACCTACTTTGGTCAGGTTGTCAGAGGGGACCATTCCCTGGAGAAGGATGTCATGCTTGGTAGGCTGGAGGGTCGATGAAAGAGGGGAAGGCCTTTGACAAGATGGATTGACACAGTGGCTGTGACAATGGGCTCAGGTATAGCAGGGATCATGGAGCTGGCGCAGGATTGGGCGGTATTTCTTTCTGCTGTGCATGGGGTCTCTATGAGTCAGAAACAACTCAACGGGACCTAACAACAACAACATTACTAAAACCAAAGACAAAATCTCTGTGACCAAATTAATAGATGCAGAAAATTCACTGAATAAAACCCAACACCCAGTCCTGATGCATACATACATGTATGTGTGTATATATATTGACATACACAAACATATGTATAAGCTTTCTGCACTAAGAATGCAAGAGAACTTGCTCACATTGACTCCAAACAAACAAACAGGCCTACAGGAAACCTCTGACTAAGAGCGGACTCCGTGGTGAAGCCGGGTTGCTTTCCCTTGAAGGTCAGGAACATGACATGCATGTCCCCCCTCCCCTTCTGTTCAACACTGGGGGCTGTAGCTAGTGCAACCAGGCAAGAGAAAAGGAAAACAAAAAACATAAACAAAACAATAGAGAGCATCCAGTGTGGGAAGGAAGAAGTAAAACTGCCTTTATTTATTGCTTAAGTAGAAAATCTGACGGGATTGGCAAAAAAAGATACTATCACTAGAAAATGAGCTTAGTAAGACATCAGGATACAATTTTTACTGTATTGATATGCAAAAATCAACTATATTTCTATATAGTGGCGATGAACAATCAGAAATTGAAATAAAAATACCATTTCTCGAGAGAGAAATCTGACAAAAGATACACAAAATATGTACACTGCAAACCACAAAACATTGTCCTAGAAATGAGAGAAGAACTAAGATATATATCATACTCATGGGTTGGAAGAATCAGTATTATTAAGATGTCTGGTCTCCTCAAATTGATAACAGATTCAACATAGTTTCAATCAAAGTCCAAGGAGGCTTTGGTAGAAATCAACCAGTTAATTCTAAAATTCCTATGAAAGTAAAGAGGGCTTGAAGCATGGACAACACCTCAACATAAAGAAACAAAAGTCCTCATACTGGACCAATAAGTGACAACCTGATAAATGGAAAAAACACTGAAGTTGTCAGGGATTTCATTTTACCTGGATCCATAGTCAACAACCATGGAAGCAAAAAACCAAAAAAACAAATGCACTGCTGCTGTGTCAGATCCGACTCACAGTGACCCCTCCTTGGGATTCCGAGGCAGTATCACTACGGAAGTACATTGCCCAACCTTCCTTCTGAGGAGTGGCTGATGGGTTTGAACCGCCAGCCTTCTGGTTAGCAGTCAAATGCCTTAGGCACTATGCTACCAGAGCTCCCACCCATGGAAGCAGCACTCAAGAAATCAAACAATGCATTGCACTGGGAAAATCTACTGCAAAAGACTTTAAAGTACTAAAGAGCAAAGATGCCACTTTGAGGACTGAGGTGCACCTGACCCAAGCCATGGTGGTTTCAATCACCTCATATGCACAGAAAAGCCAGACAATGACTAAGGAAGACCGAAGAAGAACTGATGCTTCTGAATGATGGTGTTGGCAAAGAATATACCACGGACTGCCAAAAGAGTGAGCAAATCCCGGAAGAAGCACGGCCAGAACGCTCCTTAGAAGCAAGGACTGTGAGACCTTGTTCCCTGTACTTTGGTCATGTGATCAGGAGGTACCAGCTCCTGGAAGAACACCATGTCGGTAAAGCAAAAACGAAGACCACCTCCGACGAGATGGGCTGGCACAGCGGCTATGATGATGGGCTGGGGCAGCGACAATCGTGAGCATGGCGCAGGGCCAGGCAGGGTTTCTCTCTGCTGTACATGAGGTTGCTGAGTCAGCACCAACTTGAGGGCCCCTAATAACAACACCTGACAGACCAGTGACAGGGACTTTCCACAGAAACATGCTGAGGGGAGAAAGGTCATACAAAAGTCAGAGGGTGTGCTGCGTGGTTCCATCACAGACAGCTGCAGAGCACAGACTACTCCAGGGCTACCGTCCATGACTACTCCAGGGCTACCATCCGTGTCTACTCCAGGGCTACCGTCCGTGACAACTCCAGGGATACCGTCCGTGTCTACTCCAGGGCTACCGTCCGTGACAACTCCAGGGCTACCGTCCGTGTCTACTCCGGGACTACCCCCCGTGACTACTCCAGGGCTACCGTCCGTGTCTACTCCGGGACTACCCTCCGTGACTACTCCGGGGCTACCGTCCGTGTCTACTCCAGGGCTACCGTCCGTATCTACTCCGGGGCTACCATCTGTGACTACTCCAGGAGTACTGTCCGTGTCTACTCCAGGAGTACCGTCCATGTCTACTCCAGGACTACCGTCCATGTCTACTCCAGGGCTACCGTCCGTGACTACTCCAGGGCTACCCTCCGTGACTACTCCAGGGCTACCCTCCGTGTCTACTCCAGGGCTACCCTCCGTGACTACTCCAGGGCTACCG